GTGGCAAAATTACATTCTTCGGGTAAATTTTAATTTAATTCCAAACCAAAAATAATTAGGTTCGGATTACCATAAATATGTTGATTATTTATGGTCATGTTACATGTATTAATTGTATTTTAATATCATTCCTTATTATAACTATTGAATTGTATATATATTTTAAAGGTTAATAACTTTTGTATTTTTTATCAGTTTTACATATGTAATATATCAAATTAATCTTCTTTTGATGAGTTTCGATTTAACATCCATATTGTATGTATAAAAAAATAATTTATATTTATCTTTATAACAATAATAAAATTACTTTTAATATTAATCAGGAAAATAAAATTATTTATCAACTAATATATTTATATTTCAAGTAGTTATATGATATAAGTTATAAAAACTAATATAATATAACACATGTAAGTCATAAGTAACACATATCATTCTAAAATATATAGTAATATATTTTTTTTGTAAAAAAAGTAAACTAAATTTATTATAGTTTTCTCACCAATTTTAAAATTTAAGAATAATTTTTTAACAAGCACCCGTGTAATACACGAGTGTTGTACTAGTTTTAACATTAATTACTCATGCATGAAGACAACATAATCAATTGGTCCCATCATCACATATGCTTAACTCTAACCTATTTTGATTTTCTAATTTTTTCTAACAATCATATGAAGATATAATCAATTTGCAACCTTAGGTTTAACAAATACGATCTCTACCCACCTTAGGTTTAACAAATACGATCTCTACCCTTTCCTTATTTATATCAATAAACAGATTTTATTGTATATGTAATTTCGTAAATAAATAACCGTAACTCTTCGAAATGTTTAGTCAAGGTATTTCACATTAAATAAAATAGGTTTTATTTATTTTTTTTATAGTGTAACATGATATAAATAATGGCAATTGTAAAATACGATATCAAATGAACTAATCAATATTTAATCAGTGAAACTACTATAAAAATATAAATTATTATTTTCACTTAATTCTTGAGCGTTTTGGTTAGTCCAAATAAAAATATATCAACTTTTGGAAAGACATACACAAACCAAATCTATATCAATATAAAAAGATTTACCATTTTTCAAAAATAGCAGGTCAAATTTTGGTCAAAATCATTTTGCATTAATTACATTCAATTCTTAGTAACTTTTCTTCTTTCTTTTTTTTTTTTTAAATAAAAAAGCAGCATTAAATGCTACCCATTAATTAAGGATTTTGTTATTTTGGTTTTCAACTAAAACCATGAATGTTGCCTATTATTTGGGGCTAATGTTGTTTTATTTTTAAAAATCATGTTTAATAAAAGAAATAACTATATATTACCCTAAATTGCTGGATAATTAAATTATCTTGCTTTGTGTCTTCACTTGCTTAATAAATTAATTAGTGTTGATTTAATACTCAACGGGTCAAATATTTTTTTTATTTCGAATTAAGAAATAAATATGTATAACCGATAAAAAAAGAATTAAATATGTATAGATAATATATTAATTATTTTACAAGCTAGCCCTAATATACAAGTGAAAAATATATGATAACCCTATTGATTTTTAGCAAGTTTTTAAATAGTGGGCTAAAACGTTTATGACACTGTAGCTATAGCGCAGCTATAGCGGAGATTTAGCGGGACTTAGCGGCTAAATTTCACATGAATACAAATAGCGGCACGCTGCCAAAAAAATCTATTTCTCAAATAGCGGCAACTTTAGCGAGCTATTTATTTCCTTGATATTTAGACTTAAACGAACAAAGTCGTCTGAAAATAATTCATTTAACATCTATGTCCCGTGCATTGCACGGGGTACGTACTAGTGCTATTTAAAAGTAATTGTAAATTGAGGAAAATGACAAAATTAAATATCACCTTAGTAATTGTAAATTGAGGAAAATGACAAAATATCACATTTTGAAGGTGGTGCTTCGATATAAATGTGATTGGATTTTTAAAACCAGAACTCAATTTTAACTCAACTCTAACCCGTTTGAATATTATCAATATAATTAAGTAATATCAATCAACCATCAGTACACATCGCACCAACTTTAATTCATTGTTTATCTGCATACATAATTTTAATTACTCATCATTTTCGACAATCTATCACTTACTTTTACATCATATCAACTTTAATCATTTCATTTTAAATTTTATTCGAATATAAACTCAAATTATCACACAAACCTAACACAACCAACTTTTTCAAAATTGTAAACTAAAAAAATCAATCAAAATCAAAGTATCCAATAAAAAACTTACTAGTACGTACCCCGTGCGATGCACGAGACAAAGATATTAAATATGTTATTTTCACAACCTTGTCCATTTAAGTCTAAAAAGTTTTATTTATTTTCTACCTCTTTTAATCAACGTTAGTTTAAAAAATTATTAAGTCGCCCTCTGACAAATATGTATGGAGTTATGTGTTCGTGTCTCATAAGTCACAAACATTATGAATAACATTACAATTTTTTCATTCAAACTTGTAGTCATTGCAAATATATTTAAATAGTTTATATAACAACCATTAAATACACACTTTCAATATATTTATAAATAAAAAGTATATAAAATTTTTGGTGTGTTCAAATTTAATTATTTTTTTATGAGCTCAATTTTAAATCATCCAGACATTTTGTCAAACGCATAAGTGTGTTCAAATTTAAATCATTGGTATTTTGGTCGGTTGAAATTTAAATAATCTACCATGGTACTGTGATGTGTATTATATATATATACAATTTTTTAACAAATAATATGTGCTTTATAAAAATAATAATAATAATTTCACAAGATTTTAAACGTAAAATTTGGTTTTTAATCACAATAAAAAAATTACGGTAAGTTGTATTGAAAAGGTGTTATGAGATAAAACAATTAACTAAAATAATTAAATAAAATACTTGATAGAAATAGAATGCATTAATTAGCTCTGACTTTTCTTACTACTAATTCTAGTAAATATAATGTCTTTTTATATAAGTATAGATTATTAATTATTGAGTGTTGATCACATTTGAGCAAAACAATTATGAGAGACAATACAATATCCAAAAATAATTTATTTATTTAAGCATAGGAAATTGAGCAGAACAAATTATTGCAGACATTAAATGCAACAAATTATTGCATACATTAAATGCAAAATGAGCGGGAAAACAGCTCTTATACTAGCTGCCCCGCTTTTATATATATATATATATATCCAAAGCACACCCTAAGAACATCTTTAGTGGTAGGTTTTGGAGATATTTAAAAACAAAAACCTTGGAGGTTTAGTGGTTTACTATTATAAAAAAGAGGTTTAATGTTTGTGACCAGATTTGAGATTTTAAACCTTCGAAAAACCTGCAAGTAGGTAGAATATAAATAAAAAGATAAGGACGAGATAGTGGGAAACATGGAAATAATAGTTTTAAAGTAAAATAAGTGAGAAAAATGTGGAATTCATAAAAAAATTGTTTTTTAGGGTTTATTGTTATTGGAATTTTGTGATCTAAAAATAATATTAAGGTTTGAGTAATGTGACACATTGAAAATTTAATGAAAAAATAGATTTAAAAAAGTTTGTTGTAAAAGATGCTCGAACTAACTCTCTATCTCTGATCTCCCTCCCTCTCTCTCTCTCTCTCTCTCTCTCTCTCTTTCTCTCTCTCTCTTCCACACACTCTCTCTATACGCTTTTCTGCATAATTCTTCTTCTTCTTCTCCTAACTTCCATCTCCATTACAAAAAGTGCATAAAATTATAGAATAAATTCAAAAATATAACATACATCTATACATTCAACGTGAGTTTAACTCAACCAAACAAATTTTAGGTGATGATTTGATATAACAATTATATTTTATCTCATAATAATTTCAAAAATATAATCTATACATTTCAATATGAGACAACTAATTCCAACATCACTTTGTTTTCTCAACAATCCCTCTAATCCATTTAAAAGCATAAAAATAATAATTACATATAACTTGCAATAAAACACATTATTTATCTACTTACGTATTTCTGAATATCATATTTTCATTAATATTATTTAATATCAGTTCTACTAACTTTATATTTTTTTATCTTATATACATTTTTTTTTGGTACAAAGAAGGAGGCCAAAGGCATAATTAAACTAAGATTCTACGGGGGTACGAAACCCCACTGATGTCGTGGTCAAGTCAAGTACTAAGGCCTATAGGCGGTGCAGTTATCCTCTACAACCCAATCGGACAAGATGCCGCCATGCTCGCCAAGTGGTCGGCTGCAAAGTTGGCTTTCCTATGGACATGCATTACCCTAAAGTTCCACTCACACTGGATCAAAAACTTCGAACGGCCTTAATCAAGGTGTCATGGGATCCAAATGTACCGTATGAGCTAAGCACCATTCGCGACACGCACTGACTATCGGTCTCGGCAATAACTTGGCGGTACCCTTTGTCCCAAGCTGGCTGAAGCCCCTGAAACAGTCTCCAGAGCCGGCACCCGTAATGGTGCAGATTCCAATATTCATAAGAAATCCCTCAATCCAGCCACTTGAATCGTCTCGAAGTAAGTCACCTGCACTACTCAAGCTCGTGAGATTATCGAATGCACCATCAGTATTCACTTTAATCTATCCTGGTTCCAGTGAGGTAAAAATTTAGACAATTTCTCGATTTATGCGTGTCATTCTTTCGCAAGGGCCATACAATACCATCTCAAATCTTTTCCAATTTTTTCTAAAAGAGAAATAAAAACGTCTTAAGCAGGTGTAACGCTTTCGTTGTGCGGCACCATTGGATGGCTTCCATCCAACCAAAGCGAGCGACACAGACGATCCTACCCTAAAAAACCCTAAACAAGGTTACCGCAGTTCCACCATAAGTCCTCACTCCACAAGCCCGAAAAGAAAAAAAAGGGGGAAAAAAAAACCCACACACACTTTCACGTTTTAGTGCGTGAAGAAACGCACTGTATATATAAATAAATAAATACACGCTCGAATGAATTGCACACATTTTCTCCTTCCGCCGGTTTTCGCTCCGCCGCACCTCAGTCGCCTCTCTGTCCTCCGGTCTCATACCGTCGCATCCTTATCCACAAACTGTAAGTCTCTGTCACTCGGTGTTTGGTTTTCGTTACCTAATTGGCCGGAGGCCTTCGTCGAACTGTAAAGTTGCTGTCTTTGGAAAAAAAAAAATTGTGCTTATAGTAGCATTTAGAGTGAGAATTAAGTGGATGAGTTAGGATTAGGATGGTTTCTTCAATTTGTGTAAGTTTTGAAGCAAATGAAATCGCATGCTAATCGGGTAACTTTTGAGACTAAATTCGGATGTAATTTATGTGGTTAAAATATATGTCGAGTGTATTGTGTGTTATAGAAAAAGAAACTGATGAAATATAGTTAAGGTTACAAAATCAAGATCCCACGAGATGTTGGCCTCGTATGTGTAGTTTCCCTGTCCTGCTTTGGCTCATGGTGGTGTCCTTACCATTACTGTTGACTTTGGGCATCTCAATCTGTTCGTTGTGGGTGATAATGTAATCTAGTTTATCGATCTTTAGTGGGAGCATGACCCAAGTTTTTTTTTTTTTCATCAATGGCCTGTTAGCCTACCCCAACTTGCTTGGGACAAAAAGGCTATGATGATGATGATGATGGCCTGCAGATATTATATATACTTAACAGTTAACACATATACTTTCTATTCAAATAACCCTTGTCCCTATTTTGTTTTAGTTTAGACATACATTAACGCGCATTTAGTAATTTCTTTGTTTATCTCATGAAATTAGACAGGTGTTATTAAACCATCTCGAAGAATTTTTCTCCGAGCTGCGTCATCATCCACACCAAGTATGGAAAATGTGAGTTGCATTGGATCATTTTTATGTCAGAAGCTTTGTGAAACAGTATAACCTACCCTTGGCATTCATGCATTTCAAGGCAGTTACTAGCGTATATAAGCTTATGCATGTGTATTTAGTAGTCCCTACGCTTGAGAAAGCAAACTCAGGATACCACTGTCTCACACTGTCATAAATTGTGATTTAATATACATTATCAGGATCCAGAGGCATTTGGAAGTCTTAAGCAACAACTGGCAAAGTTATTCGAGAAATCATTGAAAGTAACAGTCCCGGAAGAGTTGGATGTAGTTCCTGCTATTGCTTCATGCCAAAATCCTAAATTTGGTGATTATCAATGGTGAGACTGGCCCCTTATATTTTGGTTATCCATTTGCTTTTCCTATCTCGTTCAATAGAATTAGTTTACCATTAAATTGAAAGTTCATTTTATTTTAGTTCAAAACTTAGTTATCTTAGGAGTAGCTGTACCTCAACTACAGTTAAGTAAATTTGAACTCTTTTGCTACAGCAACAATGCCATGGGCTTGTGGTCAAAAGTTAAAGCAAAGGGTACCCAGTTTAAAGGTCCCCAACCTATAGGACAGGTATTGGTGATTAATAAAGGTTTTGTTGCAATTTTCTTGTTCATAATAATATGCTGTAAATCTAATGTGCCTAAAATGATGCGTGGTTGTCTGAAATGTTTATTATAGGCCATTATGAAGAATCTCCCTGAGTCAGAAATAATAGATTCATGTTCAATTGCTGGTGCTGGCTTTGTAAATGTTGTGCTGTCTAAACAATGGATAGCCAAGGTAATTTTATAAGAACTGCTTATATTTTACCTGAATTTTATTTATCTTGTATGTGAAAATCTTACCTGAACTGGTGTGCAGAGCATTCAAAAGATGCTAGTTGATGGTATTGAAACTTGGGCTCCTAAACTTCCTGTTAAAAGGGCTTTGGTTGACTTTTCCTCACCCAACATAGCAAAAGAAATGCATGTCGGTCACTTAAGATCTACTATTATTGGAGATACCCTGGCCCGTATGCTGGAATACTCAAATGTGGAAGTTCTTCGGAGGAATCATGTTGGAGACTGGGGGACACAGGTAAATGAATTTGTATTTTACCGATAATAAGCAGCAGCTCTACTCTCTTTCTTATAAATGATGAGTCTGCTTATGATTAATCTCTGCTCATCCAATCACATTTATGTGTTTTGACTGTTGAATTTGTATACATTGAATGAAGCCGTGAGATGAAATAAAGTTATGCTCAGTACTTCGATTCTTGGTTACTGTTGGATCATTTTCCCCTGTGAATAACATTCGTGATGGAGAGAAAATCCCTTTTCAGTTATGTAATGTTTTGATATGGAATAATATTGAATACTCTCTGTTAGTTTTCTACACAGTCATGTGTGGCATTGGAAGGTAAATAATTTAAAAATATTCATTTGGATGCTTATCTAAAGCACTCGTGCGATATTGATATGTAATTCCCTAGTAGGAATTATGTTTCCTTATCAACTCTACTATCCATGCTAATGCTGTCTGATTGCCTTACAGTTTGGAATGCTAATTGAATACCTGTTTGAGAAATTTCCCAGTGGGGAAATTACCAATGATCAAGCCATTGGAGACCTTGAGGTGAGAGGAAATTCTGAATGTCCTTTCTTCTTCACTGTTCTTGTTGGGTTATGTTGAATATCTCTTTGCACTTTGATTTCGAAGCATGGCATAAAGCACAAAGGGCTTTAGTGATATTTTCTTTTACCGGTTAATGGTAATTTCAACAGACAGGTGTACTTTTTCTCTGTTAAACTATATATATGCAGTAAAACACAAATTGAACCCTTGATCTTGTCCCTATCACGCACACATCGGACATGGAATATTTACATTACTCTTAAGTTGACAATGATTTATTTTTTACCAGTCATAGTACAGTTAATAAGCCTTTCGATACTTGAAATATCTTGATTCCATATCTTAAAGTTAATTGATAAATTGACGTTGACTGTTTATATCTGTTCTAATATGAATTTGCTGTTTATTGCCATTTCTCGTTGATAGCTTGTAACGCGTTGGCTATGCTCTCATATTTGTGAAACTATAATAGTGCTGGCATGCTGCATTTCTTTTAAAAAAAAAGTTTTGAAGTTATGGTATTTTAAGCCTCCTTTTATGACTTGGTTGCTGCATTTCAGGCATTCTATAAAGCATCAAAGCAGAGATTTGACAGCGATCCTGTTTTCAAGGAAAAGGCACAACGGGCAGTCGTCAGTCTTCAGGTAAATAACTTAGATTGCCGATTGCCCTGTTGATTCCTGTTACAGTTTTACAAGCAATTTCTGACTTATTAAAACGTTGAAGTTTATAAGTAATGTACCTTATGCATGATACTAAATCAATATGCATATTACAGGCTGGAGATGAGAAGTACAGATATGCATGGTCTCAAATTTGTGAGATTAGCAGAAAAGGATTCCAAAAGGTCTATCAGCGGCTTGGAGTTCACTTGGAGGAAAAGGTACTAGAGTGCTAATTTTGTCTACCTGATGCTTTTTGTTTATATCCAACGAGGTTTCCAACATATGCATCATGTGATCCATATAAGATTGTGTGAAAATATATTGTAGTTTGGTGGTGTTCTCAACAACTAATGTTTCTCTTCACTATAGATACACTATTTACATGGATTTCTAATATGGATGCGGTGTTAATGTTTTTTGTCAGTTTCTGTGGAGTTTGAATTAAAACGAGCCCTTTTCTTCTGCATCAGGGTGAAAGCTTTTACAATCCATATATTCCTGGAGCACTGGAATTGTTGAGTCAAAAAGGATTAATTGAAGAAAGTGAAGGTGCTCGTGTTATCTTTATTGAAGGAAAGAATATACCACTTATTGTTGTGAAGAGGGACGGTGGTTACAATTATGCTTCAACTGATCTTGCTGCTTTGTGGTGAGTTTCATCCTTCTCTATATTTTATGTTTAAAGAAAATTCTTGCTAGTCCTTATTCTTTGCATGCATACTGCTTGCTCTATTTTTGTCCTGGTTTATAATACTTTCAAGTACCAGCTGAAAGTTTCCTTTTTCTGCTCCTATATATTAAAAACATAGGTCGTCATTGTTTAAATATTGTGATGTAAATAATTTAACCGATACCTAAAATTTCTACTGTAACTGTATGCTGTTTCTGCCAGATGTGCCGTCGAGAGTGCTTAAAATATTGTTATGGGAAGTGCTTTTTGTTACATACTCACATGTGCAATACAGGTATCGACTGAATGAGGAAAAGGCTGAGTGGATGATATATGTAACTGATGTTGGTCAAAGAGAGCATTTTGAGATGTTCTTTACTGTAAGTCTCAGCATCCTACCTATGGCCATCGTGTATTTATTTTGCCAGAGGGTAGTTAAAGTTTTGAAAATGTTCCAGGCTGCAAAACGGGCTGGCTGGCTTCCATCTGAGGATAATAAGTATCCTAAAGTTAGCCATGTAGGCTTTGGCCTTGTTCTGGGAGAGGATGGAAAGAGATTCCGTACTCGGAGTACTGAAACTGTCAAACTAGTTGATCTACTTGATGAAGCCAAAAGTAAATGCAAAGCTGCTCTAATCGAGAGAGGTTAGTTTCTTTTTCTTGTCAGCACAGAGTCTTGTTTTTCTGAGTAGCTCAAAAATGTACAAAAAAGGTTTGATTAAATAATTGCTTTCTTTGTACACCAGGCAAGGATAAAGAATGGACTGAGGAGGAGCTTGACAAAACTGCTGAAGCAGTCGGATATGGAGCTGTTAAGTGAGTATCCTGCGCTTTCTTCTTGACTAACTTTGCTTCAATCAATATAAGGCATATAGTTTTATGTGTGCTAACTATACAAATGCTTGGTTCGACAGAAAGATAGCTATGGCCTATAAGTAGTCGCTTATATAATAAACTCTTACATTATGAATTTATGGTTTTTATTGTTCATTCAAAACAGATACGCTGATCTGAAGAACAACAGAACAACAAATTACACTTTCAGTTTTGACCAGATGCTCAATGACAAGGTGCGTTTATTGATTACCAAGTGTCGAATATTCACGAAATATAGTATATTCTTTGGAATGTGAATTAGCTCGTCGGTAGTTTGCCTTCAGATTTTGTTGACTTGTGTCTATGTTACTGGTTGAAATTCTATTGAATGTTGAACTTTAAACTCTAATTGTGTTGTTCATGATCAGGGAAATACAGCTGTATATTTGCTGTATGCACATGCTCGAATCTGCTCAATCATCAGAAAATCAGGAAAAGACATTGAAGAATTAAAAAAGGTAATCCTTTGCGACTGTTATGTGTTTCCTCATCACACATTTTACTGTGTGATGGTGCCGATTGAGTTTAACCCTCTCTAATTTTGAATGCCCATCTTCTGTTTAAGTTCTTATGAGCAAGTGATATAGTCGGTCTTTCATCACAGCCATGGAGTCATTAAAAATATATTTAGAAAATAGTAATTTAAATTTACCAAAATTATCAGATTATATGTAATCCATGTTTTTTTTTTATTTTTTATTTTTTTTCAAATATTTGTGACAGACTGGGACATTAGATTTGGTTCACCCTGATGAACGTACGTTAGGGCTCCATTTACTCCAGTTTCCCGAGGTAAATGATCACATTTTCACCGTTAATCCTGTTGCTACACTTTCCTTTTACACTGTTTCCCATGCTGTTTTTTAACGTATATTTCCCTTGTCTCACTTTTTGCTTCTGCCCTGTTATCAGATTGTTGAAGACGCTTGCACCTATCTTTTGCCGAACATACTGTGTGAATACTTGTATAATTTATCAGAGGATTTCACTAGGTTTTACACCAACTGCCAGGTACAAAGCCTTCTGCCTAACACTTGGTCATATTTTGCCCGGTTATAATATAAACTCAGTCGATATTATCTACTAATTTGGATTTTAGTTTTAATTTACGACTCATCCGAATCTTGAAATCTGAAAATTGTTTCTTTAGGTGGTGGGGTCAGCAGAAGAGACGAGCAGGTTGTTGTTGTGCGAAGCAACGGCAGTTGTAATGAGAAAATGTTTCCATCTGCTCGGGATTACACCTGTTTACAAAATTTAAACCCGGCGTTTTGTGACTCGCACGGGATTATTTTGACGTGCATTTATCTTATCACTTGTACCTCGAGGCTTTCTCGGGTAATTTAACATATTAAAGTTTATGGTATAAAGACGAAATTGTTCGGTCTTGAATGCCATTTTCTGCCTTTATTGTCTGCTGTGAGGTGTGAGGTGTGAGGTGTTGAAGAGATGAAAGCATTGGATGAAAACTTGATGAATTTACTCACTCATATTTAATTATTTACACATATATGTATCAGCCTCCATAGTACAATGAAATCGACAGCTAAGACAGGCAGTGGGCCCCACCTAAAGATGACCCCACCCGGAACCAATCACCTGCGGCATCCCCCACATTAACTGGCCACACAGACCTCAGAGTGGGCTCCACTTCCAGCTGTGCTCAATTGTCCTTATTTCACGTGTCCCACGTCATATCATGCCCATCCCTTCCCGCACACTACAGGCTTCACTTCTCTCAAACTGAGTTTTTAACAAAATATATTGCTCGTAAATTGTTTTTTTTTTTTTTAGGTAATTGTTTTTAACAAAATAAATTCGAGCTCATTAAAAACTCGTCTAGTAAACGAGCCGACCCCGACTCAAAATTATTATTTCTATATGTAGTTTTCTATAGGCTCACTTGTTAAATATCGAATTCTCTCACATTCGTCAACGAGTCGAATATCGAGTTCGAGCGCGGTCGAGTTTACACCTTACACATAATCCACCGACACAATTTTTATCCCAACTGCACTGCAGAGAAAATCACGGGCCTCTTCAAATATCTCACCTCTCTCTCCATTCCCTCTATTTTTTGTTTCTCTCTCTCTACACCACCATTAATAACCACCCACCACCTCGCAACTCCCTTCATTTATCCATTTGAGAGGAAGAGAGAACAACTGCCAAAAAAATGAGAGAAATCCTGCACATTCAGGGAGGTCAGTGCGGGAACCAGATCGGGTCCAAGTTCTGGGAGGTCATCTGCGACGAGCACGGCGTGGACCCGACCGGAAAGTACAAGGGCGATGGGTCGTCCGACACGCAGCTGGAGAGGATCAATGTCTACTTCAACGAGGCGTCCGGCGGGAGATACGTGCCGCGGGCGGTGCTGATGGATCTGGAGCCAGGGACCATGGACTCCATCAGATCCGGCCCATACGGGCAGATCTTCAGGCCCGACAACTTCGTGTTCGGGCAGTCCGGGGCCGGGAACAATTGGGCCAAGGGGCATTATACAGAGGGCGCGGAGCTGATCGACGCCGTGCTCGATGTTGTCAGGAAGGAGGCCGAGAATTGCGATTGCTTGCAAGGTAATTTGGCTTTTGCCTCTCAATGAATTTCAATTGTTCTCTTCGTCGTTGATGTGATTTTGTGTGTTTGTGCCTCTGTTCGTTGGGTCTTACGTGAATCGCTGTGGATTTTTTTGGTGTTCTCTGATTGATACTTGCTCATTCTGTTCGTGCATGTCAATGACATTGGTTTATATAGAAGTATCAACATTCAGTGTGCTTGTTTACCCTTTGAGTTGTACCTTTTTCTTGTAAGGATTAAAGTAATCTGTCAATATTTTCCGTTTGTGCTTTTGCGTTTCCTGTGAATTCTTCTGAGGTTCGCCGTGCTTTCTTTTTTCTTCCCTTAAAAAATAAGTATGTGTTTGTCATTTGATAGTAGTGTTTATCAGATCCTCTGGATTTTGATCAATCATGTTCATTCTGCTTCTGGATTACGACGAATCACATAACTCTGCCCATGTATGATTTAATTCAAGTTTAGCGAGATCGAGCATGTGATATTCGTATAATATTCGTATGCTCATTTGGGTTGATTAGGAACAAGGACATCTGTTCTTCAAAACGGTAAACTGTAAGTACCCTGATTGTTTTGCAAAGCTGAATTTCGAAGGGTCTGAAACATTGTACCTTAAATTTTGTTTTGCTACAAGAGTTATGTGAAATATATTATAACTGCTGAGTGCTGCCCAAGGAGATCTAAAATATAAGACATGATAATTAGCAGAAGCATCCTGACAGCAACTGTAATGGCACATGATAATTAATACTGTCATTTGTTAAGTATTGAAGTATTATTTCGCAGGTCCATCGTCATTCTTAAGCTCATCATATTTTAACAATCATTTTGCTGCTTAATTCACTGTATTCCCGTCCGACACTTGCTTCAAATGTCAATATCTGACAATTATTAAGCATTATTTTGGTCTGGTCCTTGCACAAATGGAAATGGAACTGTTGTTACACTTACCAGATGTTGAGCTTTCCTTTTCCTTTCCATATATCACTATCTTTTATACAAATTTTGCTTATTGATTTTTATACATATGTCACAACAACGATAATTTGAATTGTACTTATCATCCTCGAGTTTTTGTCTTCCTCTACTAGATCGTGAGTTGGATTCACTTGATGAACTTATATTCATTAACTGCTGCATGTATTTATGAACTTATTGCTGGCCGTGTTGCATTTGGAAACTAAATCTCATGACATGTCATGATGAATCTTATGGTTTTACATTAACCTGTACAATAACAAATGTTCGCTTTTGTGCTTTCTCGTTTATTGCATGGTGGGGATAAATGATTTACATTTACCGTTCTCTTCTTTTCCCACGTGAATCCGTTAATTATTTTCCTGATACAACAGACAATTAATTTTTTTCTGTTCTTCACAGGATTCCAGGTATGCCACTCGCTCGGAGGAGGCACAGGCTCTGGCATGGGCACCCTCTTGATCTCGAAAATCCGAGAGGAATATCCGGACCGAATGATGCTTACCTTTTCTGTTTTCCCTTCACCTAAAGTCTCGGATACTGTGGTTGAGCCTTACAATGCTACACTCTCGGTCCACCAGCTGGTTGAGAATGCTGACGAGTGTATGGTCCTCGACAATGAAGCCCTTTACGACATCTGCTTTAGGACCCTCAAGCTCAGCACCCCAAGCTGTGAGTAAACTATACTATATTAGTCACCCTCTTGAAGATTCAGCTTTCCTTTCATAAAAAGCTAAAGCTCTGACTTGTCAAGCTTTCAAAATTTGACTTGAATAACATGAAAAATTAACTTTAATGAATGGGAACAGAATTTGAGTGGAACTGTTTATTGATGTTTTTAAAGAATTTCGTTATTGATTAAGCTTCAATAAATGATCGTAATTTCCCGTTTTGCTAAATCGTTTGCTAGTTGGCGATCTGAACCACCTGATCTCGGCAACCATGAGCGGTGTCACGTGCTGCCTCCGTTTCCCGGGGCAGCTCAACTCTGACCTCCGGAAGCTTGCCGTCAACCTCATCCCTTTCCCCCGCCTACATTTCTTCATGGTCGGTTTTGCCCCTCTCACGTCCCGCGGCTCCCAGAACTACATATCCCTCACTGTCCCCGAGCTGACTCAGCAGATGTGGGACGCCAAAAACATGATGTGCGCTGCCGACCCGCGCCACGGCCGATACCTGACGGCCTCCGCCATGTTCCGAGGCAAGATGAGCACGAAAGAGGTGGACGAGCAGATGCTGAACGTCCAGAACAAGAACTCGTCCTACTTTGTGGAGTGGATCCCAAACAACGTGAAGTCGAGCGTTTGTGACGTGGCCCCCACAGGCCTTCGGATGGCTTCCACGTTCGTGGGGAACTCGACTTCCATACAGGAGATGTTCCGGAGGGTGAGCGAACAGTTCACGGCCATGTTCCGGAGGAAGGCTTTCTTGCACTGGTACACGGGGGAAGGGATGGACGAGATGGAGTTCACGGAGGCAGAGAGTAATATGAATGACTTGGTGGCAGAGTATCAGCAGTATCAGGATGCGACTGCTGACGACGAGGAGTATGAAGCCGAGGAGGAGGAGGAGGAGGAAGGTGGTGAGGAGCATTACTGAGAGCAAAAAATAAAAAAAAAATAAAAGGGTTTGTGGCTGGTCTTCTTCTGTTTGTTGATGTGTCTCCTTTATGCTTTTCTTTACTGTGTTTGCTTTAGTATATGATGATTGCGTGAGTTTGTTACTTTGGGTGCACTTCTTTTATGTGTAGTAGTTGTGGTGTTGTGTATCTGGGATTCCTTTTACTCCTTTGGGAGTTTTGGTGAAATCGTTTTGTACCTTTTTTTTTTTTTTTTTTTACACTACTGTGGGATCAATATCGCAGGATTGAACTTGCCTTGAGAATGTGTTCTGGACACTGGATAATTTTTTGAACTGGCTATTATGTATCAGAGGAAAATCAACTGATGCCCGAAGATCTATTTAGTCAGCATTTAACATGACAAATACATTTTTTTTATTTTGATACAAAGAAGGAGGTCAAAGGTCTTGGTTAGAACTTGCCGGGGGTATGAGACTCCAATGCTATTATGCTCAAGCCATGCACCTAATCCTGTAGGCGGTGAGGAAACTCGATACAGTCTAATCGGATATGATGCCGCCAAGCTCGCATGGTCAACCGCAAAATTCGCTTTTCTGTGTACATGCTGAACTCGCACGGTCCAATTCCTCTGTATTAAATCTCCGATTGCCTTAACCATAGCATCGTGAGCCCCAAATGCGCCGTCCACATTCGTCACCATCCTCATAACGCATTGGCTATCAAACTCAACAATGACTTGTCAATATCCCGAATCCCATGTCAAGATAACAAATACATTGAAATGAGACATAGCCACCGCAGCTAAACACAAATAAAGGAAAATAGCTGAAAAAAAAAATGGTTGATGGTGAAGATCGCCAATAAGACATCGACAAGTAGTAAATTACAATTTAAGAAGAACACGGCAAAGCTCAAGGAATTCAATTTGATGGATTTTTCATATGCTATTGCAATATTTTTATATAATAAAAAGTGAAAAGTAACATGACTACTTAGATGAGTAATTGGACACGTGGCAGACACCTAAGAATGTTCCATGCGAGGTGAGTAGTGGAAGAGAGAAAGATG